GTTGTGTCGCATCTTACACCATGATTTATCAAAGTATGATGGTTTGGAAACTAAATATAAGTCATTGCATGCTTGATGTTTTTGTCTGAGATAAATTAACTTGTGCATGGTCACGGGTTTGAGATCATTGTATTTTCGTATAATGAAGTAACTGTCGTTTCGGGCTAACTCAGATGCACCACGTGCAACCACGACGAATATATTTAATGAAGTTGAGACAGTGAAATGCACGATGAAATACAGTTCAACATCAAACAAAAGTCTACTATTTTGTGGCTGTGAAGTTTGCCGCGAATCCTGACCATGATATCTTAATAGGTTATGGTTGCACAAACGTAAACTTGTATATAAAATATTATACTGTATCATGCCTTAAAAGAACGAAAATTCCATCCCAAACCTTGTATGTTTCTCAGATAATTACCTCTTCATTTCAAAATAAAATACTAACCCTTTTTGTAAATTCTTCTTGAAAGTCGGTGTCGTGGTAGTGCGCGCATATTGTATCAATGTTCTCATCTTCCTGCTTGAGAAGTTTCACAGTGACTCTTACGAGGAAGTTCTGAAGTTGATGAATACCTTAGAAATTAATGCATTATAAAATTATTAATTTTCTATGTCAAGTTATATGAATGCAACTCATGCAGCTATTTAATAATAAACAAGTAATCATGCGATGTTGCTCGTACAAGTAGGGGCTAATAGTACGAGTGATGTTTGGAAATTTTGCCAACATTGGACGAGCCGCCTGGGCGAGTGGATGTTGCATGGATACTCCTCAATGTCAACATCATATTCTCTCACCAAAGTCCAGTCCTGCCAGACATTCAACCTAAATTTGAAAAATACCTTTCCGTTTAGGATACCCTTCCGCCATTTTGTTTGTTTTGGGAAAATCATTTTAATTGTACTGCAGTACAATTAATGAATTCATGAAATAATTGTACTCCTCTCAACCAATCATAATCCAGCAATTTTGTCATGCAAATTGCTGCCGAGCGTAGCGAGGCAGCACACTATTCTTGACACGCGGTGGTTTCCCCAGAGTCCACTCGACCCAGTCTTTCGCGCGAGTTATGTATTGTCGAGATCGAGATCTTGTATCTGTCTGTAAAGATGTTTGTCACAATCCGGGGGGAATAATTAAGCTTCAGGGACGTTTGTTAAAAGAGGGGAGCGGTCAGAAACAAGATTTTGTATTGCGCACGCATCTCCATGTGCTTCAAGAATCGAAAGATTTTTACAAAAGCGTTTCATACGGATGCAAGAAATCGAAAATATTGGGAAAAATTCAGGTAAGTATGGCTCTATTTCTTTCTTCTTATATACATCAAGGCGATGACATTTTTAGTGTTCAATCTAGAGGCAGACAATGTGCTTTCATGAGTTTATCGGCAATTTTAACTGCCCAAAATATACCACTGATCGATTGGTCAAAAACAACATTCAGTAATGTCTTATTACAAGGAGACAAAATGTACTTGCAAGCTCTGAATGATGGCTTTGTTGTCTTAGAACCTGGTGTCGAATTCTTATCTGTAGATAACTTACCTAAACTTGTCAGTGTTTCATGTTGTACGAACATGTTTTCTTACCAGATATGTGATTCTGCGATCGACACAAGTAATATATCATTATCACCTGTAGCCAGTGTAGTGCATGCGAAAACAACTACAACACCTGTGAATCCTTTTGATGCACAAAATAACGATACTATAACCAGGCTGCCCATGGTGGTAGGACAAAATAATAATGTTCTACCCATTGTGGTAGAGCCCATTCAGGCAACTGTTGATCTGCCCATTGTGGTAGAGCCCATTGAGGCAAAAACTATTCATCTGCCCATTGTGGTAGAGCCCATTGAGGCAAAAACTATTCATCTGCCCATTGTGGTAGAGCCCATTGAGGCAAATACTATTCATC